AAAATAATTGCGAAGGGGCATGCACGATGGTTCGTACTAAGAATCTGCATTTGAACATCTCTTTTCAAATTTTTCTCTTATTTTGGTTAATTTAAAATTATTTAAGACAATTATACACATTTTTTCCTTCTCTGCACATACTGTTAATTAATTTTAGTTGGTTAACTAATAATTAAAGGACCAGTTAAATTAATACTCTTCTATATGCTTTATTGCATTTAAATGCTGATTATATTTACCTCTAAATGCTCATATTAATTTTTATATAACATATTAATATATTTAATTATATAATATATTTTATGAAATATATTAATTTTGCGCAAAAATCTATTTTCCACTCTAATCTACAATGAAGTATATTTCATTGTAGGTAGATTCTTAATACGCGCTAATATCTATAACTTGCGTCATAGTCTTATATATTGACCAGTTAATTCCGGATAAATTCGTGCCGGGTACCCTGTACCTACGATGGGACCAAAAATTAAACGAAAAACTTTTATGTCGCGTTCACCGTCGCGCTTACGTCCTACGTATGGTCGCGTAAAAACAATTTCCCTCATTCTGTTCGCGCGATCGCTCGCGAGTGAAAGCAAAACGTCACACTTCCGCTCCGAAAATGTGGAATATATTCGACAGAATAGTATGACTATGTGAATGAAAGTATATTAGTATACACACACACACACACACACACACACATATATATATAAATATATATATATATAAAATTGAAAAAAATATATTCCACTTCTTGCAACGGAATGAGCATAATCTCACGCCTTACGAAACATATTTAAACAGCTGTCAAATTGGAGTGTGCGTAAATATCATAATCAAAAAATGACTTTATCTTCGTAGGATGAAATCGGAGTAATTCTGAATTAGATATCAATAGTATGTGACATCATAAAAAAAATCTCCTTGGCGTTGATGTACTGTGCATGTTGAAAGATACAAATAACTTTAAATGAGGAATACTGTGTTTTTAATTAATCAGATGAACGTAAATGTACGCTGTGTGATACAATATCATAAGCAACGGTAGCTAAAGATGATAGAACAAACCGACCTATACAACAGACCTACAATGTTTTATGCAACATGAGTACCACAAATGTCAAAAGTTTTTGATGCTGAGAATATTAAAGATACAATGTCCTTTTAAAATGAAAAATATATTGAATATGTAGATAAATTGGCATTTGCGGTATAATTGTCCTGTGATATAAGATGGACATAAAGATCAACATTGAAATGTATAACTTTACTCTCATTCGATTGGGACGATCGCGAGCAGTATGACAAGAATAAAAGAAACGGATGTCTATGCGACAGTAAAGAAAAAAAAAAAACAAAACAGTACGTCTTATTTTTTTTCCCAGCTGATCCCAGAAGCCTATTTAACGACTCCCTTGCTGTTTCCCTGTCCATCGAAATCCCACGGTATCCTAGGAGCCAATACTATTCACGGATTCACAGAAGATGGACGATTGATATCGCATATTTTGCCGAATGAGTATTGTTGGTTCACTCAGACCGGACACGCAATAGCCAGAATTCCTGATAGCCTTGTGGTAAGAATGACATTAAATTTTAATATTACTTCCAGATAATATCTACTAATATCTACTGAATTTCAACATTAAGTCTCACGAAATTACAATTAGTCATATTTTTAATTCTGAAACTTGAGTATTGACACTAAGGATTTTTAATTGCATTTTCCATGAAATTACGCAGACTTACGCGGCTTTAGTGGATTATTCCAATCAGACAAAGTGGATTCAGCAAAAAGCAACGATTCCGCATCCGACGGAGTTCCCGATGTTGCTCGGTAATCATATGGGATACGAAAGAATCATTAGTGATCGTGCACGACGAAATTATGCCATCATCAGCGTAGATGAATTGAGAGATCCCAATATTCAACGAGAACGCGAAACTATCAATTTGAAGATAAATCAGGATAAAAACTCGCCCGACTTGGACACGTATAAATCTAACGAGAAAAAAAATTAAAGAAAATCAGCAGTTGATACCATTATTAATAATTAAGCACTAATTTGTTTAAATATTCAAATTTTATTTGTTAAGCGACTAGTTATCACAATGACTTAAACATATAATTTTTAGAAATTGACATTTGCGGTATATTTCTTATCTTAGTTCTTAGATTTTGTTCTTCTTCTTTTTTTCATTATATACGAATTTATGAAAAGAATTATTTTACTGAAACATCTAAAAATTTAACTATATAATATCTGAAAATAATTTTGTTGGATTATCAAAATAATTATGTAAGAATCTCAAGCATGATAAGCAATGTTGCAAGATACTTTTATATATACCTAGTTAAATTTTTAAATATTTCAATCAAATTTTTTAGATATTAAAATCATTTTTTCCTGTAGAAATCAACTTGCAATATCGCGTAATAAATGTTGACCCTAAATGTTTAAAACTTTGCATATCTCCTATCGTAAATTTATTCTTGGCCAACGATTTGATTGATAAAACATTATAATAAGTTGAAAGATCTTTTTGGAAGATGGTGACATCTTTGCCCGGTAAACGTCGCCGCTTTTGACGTTTAAAACGTACAACTTCCGCTAAAAATGTTCGGCGAATGTACAGTTTGTAAATAGACGAACGCTAAAAAGAGCGGTTTTTCAAAGCGGTCGTAACTGTAGCGGTATCTCTCAAACAGTATAAATGAAGACCTCCCGACTCGTGTCTAAAGACTACCTAGCGGCAGGTAGCAATAATCAAGAATACCCCTATCGTAAACACCTTTGCAGTGTTGTGCAGGTTGCGTAGAAGTCGTCCGAGGTAAAATTTTTATGATACGCCACCGTGCAGTGGATAGGACGGACATAAACCCACCTTCGAAATCTCTTAATTTCCAAGTGTGTGTCATATGCCAGTCGAAAGAACTAAGACGAGATGAATATCCTAACTCTACAATGTGTGTTACATTAAAGATTGTGATCAACGCAGGTAAAAAGAAAACATTTTTTTCTTGTAAAAAGATGTAGGAAAGATAGTTTTAAAAGTTTTAATAAAAGTTATGATTTTTACAATTGAGACTTTTCTTTTTATGTAGCTGTATGTAACTTTTTTTGTATATAGCTCGCATTTAAACATCTATATGTTGAAAGTTAGACGGCCTAAAAAGTTGTCTTGTCTTTTTACGACTACCGGATGTAGATAGTACTTGGAGAATAAAAATGACACTTTCGTTTTCGACTTCATATATACTTTTAAGAAGATCTCGCGATTGATGTCACCGCGCAGGTTGCGGCTCAGGAACTGACGGTATTTTTGGCAAATAATCGCAGATGCAGTCAGGCTGAAAATTGTAATTACCTTCGACAACCTCGGACCGCCTTCAATAAAGATAGCTCCGCTCTCAGCCTCCGGCAATGTCGCGGCACCAGGACGATCACGAGTACATGCTCTCCGTACGAAATTGCTAGCACAAATAACCGATAGGGTTACAACCGTCTTCACGTCCGGCGATTGCTGTCCGAACTCCGAAACCGTGCGCGATGGCAAACAAGAGAACGGTCCTCCTCAAATATCTGCTCGCGATGCGTCTTGCGACTGGTCGAACGGTGTTCTGTTGATTTTTGTCATTTGACTCCAGACGACTAACATATTCCTATTCCTCCCTCTCCCCCCCCCCTCTCCGATCGTTTCGTTTGTGATAGGCGAGGAACTTCATTTTCATAATCGACAAATATCGAAATTACTACAAGTCAATTTCACGAATTTCTGAGACTGAGATGCGAATCACGAGATTTTCAGTAAATTATTGAAATTCTTGCAAAATCTTGTTATACAAAATATAGAGGAGAATGTTAAGTTTTTATAAAATGAAAAAGTTCCGAGATATACGTGAATTAAGTATTACATTAAAGGGCTGCTAATGTTCGCCCGATTTTATCTGATTAACTTGTGATTAAGCTTAACCTGATATTTTACTCAATTTCATCATAAATGACATCATCATAAATGAAGCTTATTGGAAGCTTAAGCCTAACCACAAGTAAAATCAGAGAATAAAAAAACCGAGCCTTAAATAGAATCGAGTAGTGTATCGCTTATCACGAGAAAATATTGGAAACATCATATATTATCGAAAGAAATCGTATATCAAAGATAATAAATCTAAAAATTTAGATATCAGCATATTCTAGAATTTAAGCAACAAAGACTATATTGTTAATATTTAAACACATATAACTTAAGCATGTTTATTGTTCAAATCTAAAATTCGAAATCAAATAATTTATTATTTTATATTGGATTCTTAATCGCTCGAAAATCTCTTCTAACTTCTTTTACTTAAATACATAACAGTTAAATAGTCAGTTAAGTAATAACATGCACAGTTACTAATTCCTGTGATGTCTTTGATGTTTTACTTAGCAATTTTTATCAATAAATGTGATTAGATTTTCACGCGATTTCTCGTATTATTCTTAATGTTTCCCTCTAATTAAAATAAACTAAATACTTATCACTCGATTCTGCTTAAATAACCTTTTAATATAATATATAATTAACATGTAATTTGTATATCTCAGAATATTTTTATTTTGATTGATGAACAGTCAAAATATAACATTCTCCTTTCAAAAACAAGTTATAATATAAAAGGAAATAGAGTGCAATCAAACACAAGAGTGTAATAATTTTTCATTTTTAAACAAATTGCTCGTTGACAGTAACTATAATATTATACATAACGACAAAGAAAAGTAATTAATTCAATTTAATTCTATTTCATTTTTGCTGTCGAGATTAACCTGTCGAGATTGCTACCTTATATTAAAAATGAATATTTAAACAGAAATTAGAATAACTGACAGAGAAACAATTTCTTAAGTTTTTTCCAGTGTGGCTATGCCGAGACCCGTTATGCCTCGTCAACGGGAGCAACACTTACATCTCTCACGAGGAACAAATACATCTTGCATACTTTTCCGAGTGCAACAGACGCAAATATTAACTCGTAGAGGTAACATGTCGCATTGCCGTGATTTCGCTCCACGAAGATGAACACTTTTTTGCGACCTTGGTGGTTTCTTCTTATCGGCCGTGCGACGTATATATTTTCGATCAAGACGAATTCGCGACCGACCGACTTAATCAAAAGAACGATTACGGCAACGATTCGGTTCACCACGTGCGGATCCGTGTACGTTGTCCGTAAGGACTAATCGAGAACCCGGCGACCGGCGACGTGGGCGGACTAGTGAACGACGTGTTTGTTGTCGAACCCACCAATCACGGTGGATTTGTAAAGACGACTCACTCGTCCATTGGTAGATGCATGACATCGAAGGCGGCACCCGCCGTAGTGACGACGCGGCGACCGGCAAATCGACCTCAACCAATGGATACCGTAATGGTACCGCCATGCTGCACCCGTGAGCTCCTAATTTAGCGAGTAATTAGCACCCGGCAAGCGCGAACGCGGCTCGAGCCGATGCCTCTCTTGACGGCCGCGTACGGCCGCTGAGAAACGGAGAAAGAGAGGATGCGAAGCGAGAACAGAGAGGTAGATATACCGCCGGTCAGTCTTCGGCGAGTCTTCGCCGGCTAGTGTGAAATATCGCGCCCAAGTGTTACGAGCCTACGGCCACGCGGCGCGGCTTCTCACAACGCGGCCTATCCTCCGCCGCCGACGGAGACGTCTGCTGCCGCGACGAGAACGACGTTTTTCCATCCCCCTCCGCTCTGTCCTCCGCAAGATCGCATCCGTTTTTCTCGTGGGAAGACGTCGCGCAAATTTGGATCTTTTAATTGGATTCTGCGAATCGATCAACAGCGAAAGCAAATCAAATTTTCACATCCCTCTCTCCTGCTGTGAGTCTGTCTGGAAAATATACCGCGTCGCATGTTTTCGTACTTTTTTTTTTATCCTTGTACGTACAACAGTTTATATTGTTATTCTCGGTCAAGAGACGGGACCTCGATTGAATTTGTCATTTGAAAACATATCGGGGAGGGTGAAAGGATCAAAGTATACAAAGTGACGTATTGGAGAACACTCAAGATGCAACCGGCGGGCGCGCCGCGAACGCCGGGTTCTCCAACGCGTTCTTCGTGCCACGAGCGCGATCGCGAGCGCGAAAGGGAACGCGAGCAGGAGCGAGATCGCGAGCGAGATCGTGGCGGAAGGCAGAATCGGACGAGTCCTGTGGAGGATCGAGAGGATCGCGAAGAGCGAGGTTCGATTGCGAGACAAAATCTCGGTCCTCCCGCCGCGATCTCGGGGCATCAAGGATTGCCGCTGTCTTTGTCGCTGGAAGATCGGGAGCTCTGGACCAGATTCCAGTGCATCACGAACGAGATGATCGTCACCAAAAATGGAAGGTACATGCATACGGATTAATTGGAAGATTAATAAAAAATATGTTAGCTTGAAGGGAGGTATAGTCCTCTATCGCTACTATTAATGCATTGTACGATCGGTACAACGCTCGGGTTGATATTACCGCGAGAAAGTGATTTTTATGCACTCCAAAATAAGAATCAGATACCACAAGTTTTTTAGCCATGATAGACATCCGATATCCGATAGAAATATTTGTTTACCGCGAACAAAAATATCATTAGCTAGAATCTCAAGCAAAAACCGGAAACCGATCTTTTAAAATTAAAAGAACAAGGTCTCTCTCTCTCTCTCTCATTCTATCTTATAGCAAGAAAATGTTAAACTGTGAACTAAAGCGAAGGAAGCTGCATGGCAATTTCAATCTAGATACTTTTTATTTGGGACAAATAATATTGTAAATATTTTACTTAATTAATATATATTTCACATTATAATATAACAGCAGCTCCTCGGGCAATGAAAACTCCCATACTTTTTAATAATAAATCACGATATGTATGAGCTACGTGTTACAAAGTTGCACGGCATATGAAATATCAAAGTCGCGGAACACATAAAAAATAAAAAAAAATAAATCTCAACTTATTTTCATTTTTTTCTTTTTTCTTTTAAAACGCTCCTTCTTTGAGTGAAAACATAACGACA